TTAGCAGAGCCACTCAAACTTTTATCTCACAATTCTATCTTTCAATTGTATAATTCTCCAATAAAATGTAGAATTCACACAACGCATAAACGAAGCGGCGACCGAAACTTTGCAGCTTTGACAATAAAAAAGTTTAAAGTCCTTTTGCGCCATTAACCAGACTGAGACAAAGACTCGGCACACACATTCTCGAGAAGACAAAGTTGAGTCACCCGAGCACCAGTACCACCAGCCATAAAGTCTGCAGATTGCCAGAGAGCCAAATGTTTGCGTAAATTTTGCTGCAACAATTTTGCCATTGGCCAAAAAGGAGGAGGATGAGTTGTGGTGCAGGTTTGGGTGGTGGCGGTGCAAGGTGACACATTCCTTTAATAGCTAGCAAGTGGCTGCATCCACTCAGTGCTTGTTGACTTTTCCTTTGTTTTTCGACTGCTGGCGGGAAATTTTTCATTTTTCAATACCAAAGGACAAAGGAACCGAACCAAACCGAAGGACTCTTTTTCCACATCTCACTCTTTCTAGTTTTTCCGCTTTCCTTTCGTGGCAATCATATTGGGATCAGCATTGTAAATTGCCCGACTCGAGTCTCATATTTCTTTATTTCTCTGGCTGATTTTGATAAATGAGGCAAGGGGAGAAATTCTGGGAGATGGAAAATTCTCCCTAGGCACAGCTTGTAGCATTTGATTGTGCCCCTTGCCTCTGCGAAAGTTAAACATTATTTCCTTATTTATTTCCCTCAACTTTCCAGACTCCCCAGAACCCTTTTGCACGCATTTCCTTTCGCTTTTCCTGGTTACTTTTATTTTTTTGTAGCCCGAAAACATAAATTTGCTTTGTCGCAGCTTCCGTCTGGTCATGTTTTTTATTTTTTTATTTGGGTTTTTCCTCTTTATTTTCGCCTTTCCCGTGCCGAACAGTTTGACAAGCTCTGAACATTGGTAAACTTTTTCCCCTACCCTCTGCTAGCTGCTTTTGCAAATGAGATTTCGTTCAGTTTGCTGTGATAAATTGTTGATGGCGCTGAATGTGCTTACATGGATGGTGTGGGTGGGAATTCGCCAGGGGTGATGAGAGGTAAGATTCCGATTTTTTGTTTGGGGCATGACTTTGGGTGGCATTTGGGAAATTCTTGGTTAAGCTGAGTGAGGAATTTCCTCAATTCCTTTTTTTTCGCTTCCTAGAGGTTTTCCCCCTACCCTCTTTTGGGTTTCCTTTTAATCCAATTCAATGAACCTAATATGGAAATTATTCTATGGAATTTCCGGAGGTAAGGGATCAAATGACCTCCAAACGGAGGGCGAGAGGGAAGCCTCAATTTAAGACAGGATTTTCCTGAAATGAATAATAGAGTGAAGGTAGTTTTTAACCCGACTTCCTTAACGAGCAGACTCCTTCAACCTGATTCAACTCAAGGATAATTATTCCAAAGAAAACAAAATGAAACTCTAATGAAATATGCAAATGATTAAGCAACCCAGGGGGGCGTGGCAATGGGTGTTTTTGGTGGTCACTCAGTGGAAGTAATTGTTGAAATTATGCGCTAATATTTTGCACAGACCAACAACAACAACAAAGGCAATCGAGAATGTTGAACTCATTTCGCCATTAACTAAGCCAAAACTGAAATCCAATTAAAAGTTAAGCGCCACAAAGGCAAAACTCATAGAGGAGAGTCTCTTGAGGGTGAAAAAGGTGTTTAATCACTGAACAAAAATTGGCAATTTATTTTAGCAAATTGTAAGAATTGCAAAGAAAATATAATATATTCAATGTAAATACATTTTTACTAATTTATCTGCCTTTAAAACAATTTTAATAGGGTTATAAGACTTATTTTTAATTTTTTTTCCTTTTGCTTTGCTTTACAATTTTCAAGGACATCCTTGGTATTTTTCTCAGTGTAAGAACTTGAAGTACTGCATTTTTTTTCCACCCGGCGCCTTGGTCAAGTTGAAGGCTTCCGGTCGAGTTGCAGTCGAGGCCAAAAGGATGAAGCGAGCAGCGAGCTTAGCATATTATAAATAACATCCAAACACGCAAACCGTTTGGCTAGGTGAAAACGGAGTTAGGGACTGGGAAGCCCCTCGAACGAGTTAACGAAGCCATTGGCCATAGTGTTGCGTGCCCAAAAACTCTTTTGGGCCAAAACCGAACACCGAACCGAGAGAGAAACTTTTGCAGCTGCAGGACACAAGGAGCAGGAACTACGCAAGGAGCCGTAAGGAACTTTGATTAAGTTTTCCATCGACTTAAAGTTCCTGCCTGCGAGGCGTCGAAATTAACTAACCCGGAAAAGGAAAAGCGCGATATAGAGAGCTAGAGAAAGAGAGAGATGGAGAGTGATGGAGAAAGAGGACGTGCTTGGGTTCTCTATGAACGGCAGCTCGGCTAAGTATGCTATAGAGATTCTCGCAGGCACGTAAACACATTAAGATGAGTGCGAGGGAGACAGCGACGGAGTGCTAGAGAGTGACAGGACGATTGGATAGACCGAACCTCCTTTATGATTATTGTCTTAAAATTAATCAAAGTGCGTGCCTGAATTGGCCAATCTTTTTGGCCGACAACCTAATAGATTTTGGGCCCTACCCCACATTTCCAGCTTTATGTTTGTGTTTTGAATTTAATTGATATTCGAAATTCAGGCGGGAACAGTAAATACGCGCTAAGAGAGAAATTTTAGATTATTAACTTTGAGTTTATGGTTTTTGAAAATGCCAAATATTTAATGAATTTAATGTGGGGGAAAGATTTCTTTTACTTTAAATCAGTTCCGACTTTAATGCCCACAGCAACATTCCAACTTTATTGTATAAATGAACAATAGTTTCTTCAGCTGTAAAAGTTTACTGTGGTAATCCTACCACCACCATACCAACATCCCCATCAGCTTCAGGTCAAACTTTAATACTTTCGTGGGAGATTAATTAAATTACAGGCAATATTTGTTATGCAGAGGACAGCGCATGCCGAAGGATTTGCCTTCGAAGCGAAACAAATTGTTCTGGCGTGTGGAAAGTTTTCCGGCCAAAAGGACTTTCCCACTTGCGGTGTGGTGTGGGATGGGATGTATTGGGTGTGCTGATTGTGCTGGATGTGGGTGCTTCTGGTTTTGTTTCTGCTTCTGCTGGTTCGAGTGTGACATGCCTCTGAGGTGGCAATATTTGACAATGTTTGCGGCCGATTTGTCGTTTGAAATGGCCGACACTTTGCGGCTTGAATGTCACAGGTTACCTGCGGCGATGGTTGCGATTTACTGTTTGATTTTCGGCAAGCGGCATTGAGGCACCCACAAAAAAGCACTGTTCAAAGGCGGCGCACGTCATTTGCATAAGGCTGAGGCGCCACACTTTGCGAAATGTCAACCAGCTGCCTCCAACCGACTTCTTAGCCTCCTTACAAAAAGAAACAAGAGAGAACGCTATAGTCGGGTGCCCCGACTATCAGATACCCGTTACTCAGCTAAAGGGAGAGCGAAGAATATGAAGATAAAAACTTTGATCCGCCGTAACTTTTTAACGAATGGTCCGATTTAAAAAATTTTTCTACATTTCGATAGGTATTGATAAACACAATAAAACTGCATTTTTACTTTTCCAAAATATTGAAATTTTTAAAATCGTATATAAGCGATTGTGGGCGTTAGAGGGGGCGTGGCACCCTTTTGAAACAAACTTGCGCTGCGTAGGAACTCTTAGAATCTGCATGCAAAATGTCAATCCTCTAGCTTTTATACTTTCCGAGATCTCAGCGTTCATACAGACAGACAGACGGACAGACAGACGGACAGACGGACAGACGGACAGACGGACAGACGGACAGACGGACATGGCTAGATCGACTCGGCTAGTGATCCTGATCAAGAATATATATAGTTTATAGGGTCGGAAACGCTTCCTTCTACCTGTTACATACTTTTGCACGAATCTAATATACCCTTTTACTCTACGAGTAACGGGTATAAAAACAGCATTGGAAGCGATTTACACAGAAAGAAAAATACAATCGACATCCTTTTCAATTTTTTAAAAAAATACAATATTTACTTTTTATTTTCAAAATTTAAAGACATCATAATAATCCTTTTATTCAAATCCGTATTTTTATCTTTTATAAATATTAGAAATTTAAAATATTTCGACAAATATAATTTCTCTGTGTGTTTTTCTGTCGCTTTTTTCCTCCATCAAATGTCAACCGCCATTTTATGTATTTTTAAATATACAAAAACAGCCAAGGAAAAATGTACAAAAAAAAGAGCGAAAAGTGGAAGCACATTTTTCAACTGTCATCAGTTTAAGCTGATGAAATTGCTGACAGACAGACCCCGAACCCCCTCAATTTTTCCAGGCCCCCTCTTTATTCTTGCTTCATTTGCCATCATCGTTGATAATATGACATAAGTATACTTCCTTCACCAAAGTTTTTCCCTTCTCCTGGGGAGCCAGCTGTGTGGCTGAGCTTCGTTGATTTCATAATGTTTTCTGGCTGCTTTTCTATTTTTTGATTTAGTGCCTGGTATTGTTTTGTGCTTACTTTTTCGGTCCTTGTTTGCCAAATAGCTGGAGATTTTTATTTGTATTATTTTCCCACTTTCCGTTTGTGTTTTTATTGGCTCTGCTGATTATGATGCTATTTTTGACACTCGATAAAGTCAATAAAAACACTTAATGGTCTTGACTTATAAGATGAATAGGCTGAAGTGGAATTTCGGGATGGGCAAAAGTATTAATTAAAGTATATGAGATTATATTTTGTTATTTTGGGTTTGGGATAAATATTTATTTATCTCCAACTTGAAGGCCTCTACTTTGGCTAATAAATAATCATCAGTATGATCCTACTAAAGATAGCCTATCAACCAGGGCATTTATTAAAGGGGCGGCCTTTTAGCTTTATTGCTTAACCGTGCATTTGATTCATCGATTTCCTGTACCGGACATAAATCAATTTATTTATATTTCCATTTCGTTTGTTTCTCCACATTTTTTCCAGCATCGACCATATCGAATTGAAGCCGACCGAACGGAACCAACTTTGAGGCAAAAGTGCGTTACGGTTCCGCCAATTAATATCGATGGTAAGTTGATTTTTATTCCCAAAAATATTTGCCTGCTTCTTTTTGTAATGCATTTTCCATAAATTGCATTTTGCAATGCAATTTCGCTGGCCATAAACTCAATTAAGTCTATACGGTGTATAAACATTTCGAAATATGCAGCTTAATGAAATTTATGGTAGTGTGCCTTTTGGTTTGTTTGCCCGCAATTCGGTAGTGGATATAGATTTAACGAAATTTAAGCTATTCCAATGCTAATAAAAGTGAAAAATAGCTGGATTTGAAAATAAATTACTTACATTTTTGTTTTTTTTACTCACGTTTTGTGCCTGGCTAAAAATGTTATATTTAATCGATAAAAGAGCAATAAAAATTGACTCAGCTTTAACCCCAATCCAACGAATTTTTTGTTCCCACTTTTTTTTGAAACTCCAGCTTGCTCCATTTTTAATGCAGTTTGTTGAACTTTTGCCGTGCAATTTGTATTACTAATGCGAACGGCAAACAAAGATGAGTTGGGGAAAAGTGCTGGGAAAAAATAGAAATGGCAAGCCAATGAGTCGAATGATTCGGGCAATTGCGATTCCAAAGGAGTAAAGCTGTTCGCTCTGCTCGGTAGCTGGCCCAGATATCCTTCGGTTTGAGGCGGAAAGATGTCCGTAATAATTCACTTCTGCCCAAAAAAGGGGGAAGGGGAAAGGGAAGTGCAGGAAAAAGGATTAAATATGCAGCACAAGTCGAGACCAGGAAGACTCTTAGTCACACGGAAGGAGCACCAGAAAGCAGCAGCTGAAAAGTTTAGTTTAAGTGTAAGAGCAACAACAACATCGACGACGACGACAGCCAGCAGAACTTGGCTTAAATGCGCTCATGTGCAAAAATGCCATTGTTTTGGATTTGGTCGTAAACAAAGCGGTGAAGCGAAGGCAAAAAAATTTCCTTTTCCCTTTTTCCCAAGAACCCGAGAAAAACTAGGCAAAAAGGGAGAAAGGTTTGAACATTTTCCACCTCGCCCTGTCAAAGTTGGGGGAAAAAACAAGAAAACGGAAGCCTCTGACTAGTACTGCAAATAAGTGTAAAAGGTTGGTCAAACATTGAGACCTGGTTAATTCCCTGGAAGGAGCACTTAAGAGGATAAGAAAATAGTTCTATTAGACATGAGAAGTTACCAGGATGTATTTACTTTTTTATTTTTTATTAATTGTTTAATTTATTTGATTTTTTTATCATTGAAATTAAAAATTTGGAGTTTTATTTTCTTATTTAATTTTTATAAATTAATATTAAAAACATATGAAATCACAATTAATTTTTTTTTACTATTAAAACATTAAATTTCCTTTAAAATCTAATTTATCCTTTTTTTAAAAGGGTATATACACGTAACAATAGAAACAACGACAGCAACAATGCCTGTTCAACACTTGAGGACTCTTCCTCTCACACACACAAAGAGTTGTCCTTCCGAACACGCAGGATTGAGGGAGGAGGGTATGGGTGTTGGCCAAGAATTCTAGATCCCTTTTAGTTCCATTTCTACTTGAAGAGTGGGTAAAAAAGTGCTATTGGGTTTTTGGGTTCTGGCTTCTGCTTTTGCTTTTGCTTTCAACGTGCGTAGTGCTTTCCTGGAGCAACCTAAAAGTGGGGCGGAAAGGGGGCTGTGCAACAAGACTGTGCCACAAATGGCGTCACATGCTAAAAACCCAAATAGCAACAGCAACCACCGCAACAACAACAACAGCAACGACAATGTTTGCTTGCAATCTCACTGCAAAAACTTTTGAAATGCTACAAAAAAGCTAGACGACATGGGCGGAGAGGCGATGGGGATTTTCGGGGGGGATCTCGAGTGACTACAAGTCATAAAGTACACAACACCACAGGGCAAACACATGGAAAGGACAATACGCAGACATCCAAATTCTCCTTCTCGTTTTCAGTCGACTTCACAAAATGTCCTCCAAAAATGTTCGTTTCTCGTTTCCTGGCTGAATTGCAGTCACATTTTTGGCATATGTCACCACACCATATATGCAATTCCATACGACTCGGGGCAAGCAGTTACATTGAAAACATTTTAACCAAAATTGAATTTACTCCAACTACAACTGCAAACTTCAACTCCTTCCCCCAAAAAGCCCAACAAAGACGAACAAAGCCGCCCATTAATAATTCCAAATGGTCGCCAACAAATTGACCATTCGAAGAGAGCCATCCACCCATACCCTTTTGCCATCATGTAAGCTTTTCCAGAAGTGCCAGAAAACAGCAACAGTTTCGTAAAAATGGCTTATAAATTATTATGGCACAAAAGAAGTAAAAGTATTTGTTCGCTCACTTTCGCAGCGAAGCCGAGTTTATAAATTGGCCATAAAAACCAGAAGCGGCAGAGAAAAGTCGGTGGTTTCCAAAAGGGGGGTGCTGCCAAAAAAAACTTTGCGACAAATTGCTCGAAAAAAAAGCTGCACTAAAATATGGGCCAGACTCGCCGGTTGCCCATTTAAATTCGGGGGATTATGTGAAATGTTTTTAAACCGTGAATTTATGGTTTGGTATCCTTGAGTAATTTATCTAACCAATATTTATCAGTTCAATAAGGCCTGGTCTTTATAATTCTGTTTAAATAGTTATATAGATAAAGATTAAAATAAATATGAGATGAAATAAAAATATTGAATATTTTTGCTATTGTAACGTAAAAGTTTGCTGGTCTAGTCTTTATACGACTTTCTAGTTTACATCTATTTAATATAAACTATATTTTTGTAAATCTCCCAAAGACACTATACTGTCGCATATACCCTAAATTCCAGTGCTAAGTGGGCATTCAACAATGTTGTAAAAGCTTTAGCCAACAATTGGTCGCTCGGTTTATTTGTACAAAATAGATTTTGTCTAAATATTTATGCTTTTAGTTTCGAGAGTTCACTTCACAGACCGACCGCTGATATTTTCCTTTTTCCACTCCGTTTGCCATTTGTTTGGCTTTCATTTTGGCAAATTGATTTGTCCATTTATTTAAATTCATACTGTGTACATTCCAATACGGATACTTTGTTTATATAGATGGTAACAATAACAGCTCCATTTAGTTGATTAATTGTCAATTGTTAATTTTTGCGCCGCAAGGATAAGCCTGCAGCCTGATTTTAAAATATATAAGTTTTCCTGATCCGGCCATTTTCTTTCGCTCTCTTAGCTCCTCCGGTTCATCTGGTTTTCCTTCGTCATGTGGCAGCTGCCTTCGCATTGCAAATAAATATTTTATGGCATTTTGGATGCGCTACCGCCGTCTCGCTCTCGCTCACGCTCGCAAATACAATATGGCCGCCGCCATTTTGGCATTCACTATTTCGCCATTTTTACCATTCCGCCATATTTCATTTCCGCCCCATTCCACGTGTTTGTTGTTTCTGCTTCTGGTGCCTTTGTTTGTTTGCCGCTGCCATGGCGCATTTTGTGAAAAGTCAATTATTTATGCATGTCACGTTATTTTCCGGCAAAAGAGCACAAAAACTGAAAGAAAACCCCACCAAACCAAACCCAACCAAACTCGACCAAACAATCATGAGTTGGGTAGCACAGAAACAAATAGCACAAAAAAAAAACAGAAAAAAGAATGAAGAAATTTTCGCTAAAATGGCCAAAAATTCAAATGTCACCGCCAGCAGCAACCGCATTCTCTCCTTCCTAATTTTACTCCGCATTACCTCGCTGTTCCCCACATTTTCCACCGTCAACATTTTCACATTCGTTAGGTGGCAAGCTGATTATTAGATTTCACTTCTATGTATGTGTGTGTCCTTGTGTGTTTTTGTATACTTTTTGGGTATATATTTTCGTGTGTTTGTGAAAGGACATATAGAAAATGGAGAGGGTGGTGGTACGAAGAGAAAGGTATCGGGACAACACATGCCATTGAAGGCAATTGAATTGTAATTCAATAGAATGAAAAATTTCTTCATTTGCTGCCGAAATAATTTTTCATTTTATTTTGTCAGCACATATAATCACGTAAGCCTGGAATAATGAGGTTACGAAGCGCAGAAAAATAGGGTCATTTATATATCAGTTTTTTTAGTAAGAACAAAAATGTAAAATTTGATAAAAAATTGTATTTTAAAATCTATCCACAAAAATTAGACACAGTGACTTCTTAGGCTTTAATATTTTATTTTATTTTGTGATTTTTTATGTGATTTCTTGCCGACACAAATAATGCAAGAAAATCGCGTGGCAAACCAAAAATATTGACAGCAACTCAAGAGCCAGACAGCACGGCTCACTGCAGTTCATCAATCAATCCATCGATCAATCTCGTTCGCCTGTCATATTACAACTTGACAGCTAACCGGACTGGACATCGTGAAATATATGTGATATTTTCCTTTCTGCCGCTTTAAACAGCAATTAAGTAGATTAAAAGCAAACTTGTGTGCCGGACCAGCAAGCAAAAGCAAAATGTAATCAATTGAATTAAGTTTAAATTAAATTTAATAGAAAACGCACAGTGCAAAAAAGAGGCAGTAAAATGGTGAAGCAAAAACAAAGGGCAGAATCCATCGCGAACTGGGCTCAGTGGGGCGTTAAATTGAATTGTTGTCACCACAATTTACACAGCCACGCCCTCTTTTCCTCCATTATTCTGGCTCGCTTTTTGCAGGCGATTGTTGTTGTTGTCATTGTTGTTTTCTGTGCATTATCGGGCTTCTTTTCTTCTGTCATATTATTACATTATTTGCCATTTGCTTTAGACCAGCCGGCAAGGCACACACACAAGTTTTTCCTCCTTAATTTCCCGCCATCCGCCGTTTTTCCGAGTCGCTCTCTCTTTGTCCCCGGCCACGGGGCGTATGCGTATTGTAATCAAGTCATAAATTTGCTCAACTGCGAATTGGTCTAAGCGTTGGTTGCCAGGCATTTCCCTGGCCCACAAGCAGCTGTAAACTGCTTTTCAGGCCGCACGTGCCAACCAACCAAAAACATCCAGAGAGAGCCATTCAGACATATAAAGATTTATC